GGTGGTCAATAATTCATCCTGAGGTATTATGTAAAAAATATTTAGTTCAACTAATCTCCAGAAAGTATGCTTTTATTTTAGCAGTACTTGACATTTTTATTTTCTCACCCTAAACCAGGAAGACCATCCGCTACCACAGAAACCTGAAACAACTTCTTCACCCAGGGTAGTTGCAACAGGCCCTCCAACTGCTGATGCTAATGTAAGCCAGCTGAAAACCTTGCAGCTCCCCAGTCCTCCGGAATATGTTCTGTACACCGACAGTGAGTTGGAGCAATGCCGAAAGAGTTACCTGGAGTTGGCCTGCTCCGGCAGGGAACAGGCATGCGTCATGTCAAAAGAACTGAGATGCAGATTGGTGAGAAATACAATCACAAGTATGGTGTCCCTTTTGAGAGCAAGCCAAGGCCAAATGGAGCGATACCCCTCTAAGACCGAAATCACTGCAATGGCTAAAAAAGTTGTGGAATATTATCCTATGCTGCAGGATAATGATGCAAGCGTAAAACACGTAAGTTCTTGTATTTGTGTCTCATATATAAATCATTTTGTTTTGTTCAGGGGGCATGATATATATGTATTTTCACCAGGAGAGCATTAATGCCAAGTTACAAAAAAGGCTGCAAAATATGAAAACCCCAGTAAAAAGGCAAGGACCAACACCGGAGAGGGGACGGCCCAAGAGAAGTCTCACTGACCTCTACCCAAGGGATGAAGAAGCTGATGATGAAGATGCTGATCGCAGTTCTTCCAGTGGTGCATCTACTCTGTTAGCACCTGTCAGAAATTCTGACAATGCCTCCACTTCATGTGAGTACATACTAGTAATTTTGTAAAATGGTTTTTAACACACAGCCAGTAGTAGCTAATGTTTTGTGGAGGTCTACTTCAGTAACAATGAAAAACCAAAATGCTCTTGTACTTCTCTCTATCTTAGCTGACAAGGATAGTCGGCAAATACAAGCAAGACATTACAAAACATTACAAGAAATGTGTAAGAAGGCAAAACCAAACCATGAAGATGTGTCCCAGCTATTAGACCTCGAGTTTGAAGCCAGAAGATCCTTCATTGACTCAGACACCATGAAAGAGGAGAACAGAGCTTGCCTCATCTTGGATGCATATCCATGCTTTAAAGAATTGCATCATGTAAGTTTTTGGAAGAGTTAATAAATAATCACTTTAATTTCAAATATATTTGGTGTGGTAGTAAAGTTATTTTGATTTTATTTGTTTACTTATTTTTTTAAACCTATTGTAGGCGTTGGGTGAGCTTCGCAGAATTTTGGATCCCCACAACAACAAGTTCATCAGTCAAGTAAAACTGAGATGGGAAGAATTCTGCTCCAGGGTAGAGTTCTACGGTGTGTCAAAGAAGGCAATGAATCCACCAATGACCATGGACAAAAGTAAGTTTTACCATTTGAATACAAAGTTCTCATCCTTTAAAATTTATGTTTATGAAGGTTTGTTTCTGCTTTGTCCAGCTGAAGCCCACCTTGCACTGATGAAGGCTCTTCCAACCCTCTTTCCCACACCTGCCCATCCACCAAAAAAGATGGGGAATGCTTCTGAAGCATTTCTACATGTCCTGAAGGTAAGTTTTATAAAATTTGCTTATAAAGATCTACAGAAAATTTGGCAAACAAAATATTTCGGTCAAACATGACTCAAAAATGCTTTTTCGGTTTCAGCCGAAAGACTTAAATCTATAATTTATTGTTTTCATTAATTTATAACGTATTTAATGTACACGAGTGTGGTCACATAAGGAGTCGCTTGACACTGATAAACCATAAGTCAAAACTACTATAAAATGTGTGTAACCAACAAAGAACAAGATAATGACATCTCCAACGTTATGACCAAATCCCAGCAAAAAAACATACAATTAACATAAGATGTTGACTGTCATGTCTTTTGTGTCTTGCAGCCTACAGAAGATCCAGATGCTGTCCTCCAGAAACGAAGCTTGTCATGTCCAGTAGTGATGTTCGATGGCTGCAAGTGTGTCATTGCTGTTGGTAATTTACCAGTTACAACATTTGACAAAGAAAAAATTGGTGAGGCTATGATATATGTGATGGCATACTTTTATGCACTCCATCTGACTTACCCCAAATGCGTGGCAACCCTGCTGTCTGTCATTCAGACAGAAGTTCTCCAGGATGCCATTCATGAGCATGACACTACATCATCTTACAGAAAAGCCCTGGCAGAATGGCATGCATTTATTGGAAAGTAGTGTGTAAATTTCAGATAAGATTAGGAGAGGGCACTTCTGTTTTGTTTTTGTTTGTTTTTTTCAATCTGGGTCTTATTTCTAAAATGGAAAATGTTCATTTACTCACCCAGACAAGTTTTGTGGTATTTGGTGTCATTCGGAAGAAATTTGAATCTTTGTGGTCTTCCTATGTCACTCGTCAATTTTAATGGGGCAATGGCGAAACCTCTAAGGCTGTTGAAATGTTGAAACCACTTAAACAAACTCATAATGTTGGACCTGTACTGTTCAATTGTATCTTTATTATCTGCAGGTTATTGTTAAAGTGGACAAATAAAGATGGACACTTTTACTCTGTTTCAGTTTTGTTTTGTCCTTAATCAGCAATATAATCTTAAAGTAGTGTTTAGCTAAATTTAAAAAGAAGAAATATCTTTAAAATGATTTAATGTACTAGTTTTTAGATTATTTGCCTTGATTTGTTTGTTAGAATAAGTGTTTTATGCCTATTTTCAGATTTAATTTCTTCAACATTTTACTTAGAACAAGTGGTTAAAGCTTATTTTAGGTTTCAAGCCATGATTGGTTGCCTGGAATAAGTGTAAAAGACTTATTTTTAGCTTTATTATCTTTATTTGTGGCCTACAATCAGTGGTTAAAGCTTATTTTAAGTTTCAATTGTTCTGAATTTGTTACCTGTAATAGGTGTAAAAGACTTATTTTTAGCTTTATTATCTTATTTGTGGCCTACAATAAGTGGTTAAAGCTTATTTTAAGTTTCAATGTTCTGATTTGTTCCCTGGAATGAGTGTAAAATACTTATTTTTAGCTTTATTTAAATCTAGATATTGTTCTTATTTCAAGGAATCTTATTAAGAAAAAAACACTTACCCCATGGGCAGATAATTTCACTTGTTTTAAGCAAATCTTCACCAAAAATAAGTGTATTTTTTCTAGTATTAAGGAGGTGGGTTTTTGCAGTGTATCAGGCAGTGTGTGTGTGTCTACACAGAAATGTTAGGCGTATCTCCTTAATAATCAATTTATGTAGTAACAAAAGACACGTGGGCTGAAGGAACGATGTTCCCATTAACCTTTCTGGAACTGACAGCATCATCTCCTCAGACAGAGGATTTCTTAACCTGAACAGTGGAAGCAGCAGGGGTCACTACAAGAGTCTGACAACACGTCAAATTCCCACGCTGCTTATTTACGTGTGTCTCAGAATAAAATGTTGTTTTAATGTACCTTCAGAAATGATATGTCACTATTAAAGATGTAAATCACATGACTCTAAACTGGGAAACAACTGAAGCTCAGATTTCAATGCCAGCTTTGTGTGTTTTGAGGGAACGGGCATCGTTCTTTGTGTAACATTGATACATAACAGAGCATTTGTCTACTTTTTGCCATTGATGTTGACAAATGAAGTGTAATGATTATTAACTGTTGAACTTTCAATACAATTGCTAAACACAGCTGTTGTTTTAAGCATCTTTATATGCTGTGTTTTTAAGTCCACTTTGATATTGAAATGAGGCAAACTTACATATTTATTTATACAACACTGCTTTTGTTTATTTGCTTTCTTTCTTTACAAATTAAATTTACTTGCTGCTGGTAAGTGATTTTCATAAGAAGCAGGTCATGCACAACCTGAAAGGCATGGGCTACATAACAAGCAGTGCAAACTGCAGCAGGACTAAACAGGAGGGACTGCAGTGTTTGGCATACATTAGTCTGATGATCTGACATTTCTGTCAGTCCCTGAGAAATATTATTTATCATATCAGAATTAAGTATCTCCTCATCACCATGTGTTCTCCAGCAAAGATGCTAAATCAGTGCTAATCTTACTCTTTTCTCTCATTAATGTCAGCAGGGATGTTTATTTTGAATGTGCGCGGAGTACTTTCACATGGAACACGCAACTGAATTTATCTAGTTACAACTTTTATCACAGTGAGCTTCTTAGAGCCTGTGACAGTCTGGAGGTTGCATGCAGGCCTCATAGCAGTTTGCCAGTCTGACACACAGGAGCATGTAAAAGGGAAAAGGGGACTCGGTGGCAGCTAAATGTGAGACAAGTGCTTCTGTCCTCTGTCTCACACACACACACACACACACACACACACACACACACACACACACACACACACACACACACACACACACACAGGTGGGTGAAGTGGGTGAAGTGAGCACTGAACCCTGACCACTGTCACCAAAGTGAGATATTTTTACAACACTGAAATCACACAGATCCCAACATGCTGAAAGACGCTCAGTGGTATTGTTATATTATTTTATCTGGATTGATCCACATGTGACCAGGTTGCAGGCAGCTTGTACATGAAAACATTAAAGTACAGATGAAGCCAAAGCACCACATCGTTCTCTTTTATATTAAGGCTTTTCTCTGGACAAACACGTGTTTTTGCACATGCCATCATCGGCTTTGCTAAGGACAGTATGTAACACAAAGGTGTCTCTCTGGTTTTCTTAACCTTGACCTTTTCAGATGTAAAATGACATAAGAAAAGCTTAAAATGCATAAACATGATTTATTCTGGCGCGTGTACACAATCCCATGATGTCATGGCTTTTGACTGGGTTATTAGCACTTCACTGAGGATGGACCACAGGCTGTAGCGCCACATAGTTTCAGCTACTGCTACACTGTTATGCTGTGTGCATCTAATTAGAAATGAATATCACATGTTCATGTATTATTTTGGAAAAATATGTCTTCATTCAAGTGTGTGTCACCACAGTGCGCACTCGTTTGGTTTAGTGGTTTAACCATTCCTCATACTCATACTGGCAGAAGTGCCCAATGAGCACTCAGTCAGCAAAGGGAAGCATGCCCACTCACAGCTCACCTGCATACCTCCATCGCTCTTCTTCTCACATTCCTTGGATTCCTCGGGCCTTCTCACCGACACCGTGCTGCCTGCTGAAAGAAAGAAATGATTTAGACTGAAAGTTAATCTGGAGGAATATTTATTCCTTGAAGTGTGCGGGGGTGGTAAAAGTCCATCACAGGGCCTCCACTTAACCTATATATTCTTTTTGACTGTTGGAGAAAGTCAGAGCACCCAAAGTAACCCACACAGGCAGAGAGAAAACATACAAACCCCAGCCAGCCTGAGAGGTGACAGTGCTGCCCAGCTAAATGCAGGGGGCAGCAATGACCTCCACTGAACTTCATCCAATTTCCTCTGGCCGGTCCAGCTTTCCAAAGACATTCGTGTCAGGTTAGTGGGTGTCCCAATCACAGCAACTGTAGCCTCAAGGTGATTTAGGTCCTATAGGTTAGACCCAACAACATTAGAAAGAAAACCCCAACAATTAGACAAAACCCTGGAAGAAAAACTCAATTTTAAGAACAAGAAACCTCCAACAGGACCGGGCTCAGGGAGGGGCAAAGAGTGGGCAACAGGACAAAAGGCTATAAAGTGCTTTATAAATAAAGATTGATTGATTGATTGATAAAATAGTCACACAGAGAGTGAAGAGAAGTGAATCAGAAACACTGAGAGCATCATGAGACCAGCAGCCTACAGTATAACTAAGGCCACATGAT